TTAGGGGTTTTGGGGTTTAAGGGCTTGCGGGTTTAGGGGTCTAAGGCTCAAAGGGTTAAGGGTTGAGTGTGTAGGGTTTAGGGGTTTTAGGGTTTAGGGTGTAGGGGCCCACCCCACCCAACCGCCAGCCCTCAACCCTAAACCGGGAACCTAGATCCTGAACACGTTAGACATCAAAGGTGAGCTCCTAGTCCGAAAACCTGAACCCTAAGCCGTAAACCCCAAAGCGCCGGAGGAGTTCGGGGTTTTAGGGTTTAGGGTTTAAGGTTTGGGGTTTAGGTTTTGGGGTTTTAGGTTTGGGGTTTAGGGTTTTAGGTTTGGAGTATCCCGAATTCCAAATGCCGACCATGGAAGCTACTCATCCAGCAGCGGAGGGTTGAAGGCGTGTAAGGTTAACAGCCTAGTACTATGCCCCGAAAACCCGCTTTGAGGACCGTAAGGGCTGGCTCTATTGAGACGTACTTGGGCGCTTCGATATGTCTGGGTTATGACTCGTCACAATATAGAAGCCTGCATAATTACGACTGCACATACGATTTCTACTCCCCAAGGTTCCTCAACAGAAGTGGCTTGCAGAAACTAGGGGAGCTTCTCTAACCTAAGGCTAGGTAACATAAGGGCCTTAACAATTCGAATAGGGTTTTGGGGGCCATGATACTATAATGATAATAGGGAACCCCCGAGATGGCATAAGAGTTGTTTAGGACCCTAAATTAATCCCTGAACCCTAAATCCTAAACAACTTCTCATCTTCAGCCTTCGGGTTTGACCACACGAAACCCCTGTGCGGTCGGGCAGTGGAGCATCGCACTTACCTTACTTCCCCAATAATCGGTTTAGGGTCTGGGCTGCTGAATAATATTTAATACTCTAAGGGAGCCCAGGGTCCTACAGCATTATATTTTAAAGGCCTCTGCATTAGGATGCTTGTTTCCCGTTCGCCTCGCCCGTGGATTACATGAAGGCCACCCTCATGTAGGGCCTGAATAATTAGAATGGGGTTTTGGGGGTCCTTGTTAGAACTGTAGAATAATATACCTCGAAACCCTATCTTAATTATTAAGGTTACGGCCCCCATATTAAACCATCATAAACTTTTCAGCCATGCCTTCACCCCTTCGACACAAGGCCTAAACTAAACGCGGTAAAGCCCGAAAAAGCCTTCAACCCAAAACCGCCGCAGAGTTCGGTTCATGTCAATGTCTTCCTGGCAGCCCGAGTTTGACGCGTGGGCTGTCTGTGCCTCTGATATTTCTTCCTGGCGAAGTTGCCGAGCATCATGCTTGGAATCTAGGCCAAACAGCTAGCTTGCAGGCTATTGACTTGCATGGCGTCATGTCTTCAACTCCGAACGTGTGACTTCTCGTGCCCTTTTCGTACGTTGTTCCTTGCTCATGCTTTTCACTGCAGTGCATCGCCTCCGTGGTGCTTTAGATTCACCAGCTTCTGCTGCAGAAGCACGTTGCTTCTCTTCAGGCGACGGATGTGCCAGTTCTTGACCGCATTGTGTTTCTTCCATCGCTCTGCTTTGCATTTGGAGTCTGCAGAAAGAAGGGAGTTTCCGAACATAGGGGACCCTAATATAGTACCCTAAATAATAGGATCCTTATTTTAAGGACCCCAAAATACTCCCAGAACGAGCTGATCCGCTGTTGTCGGCTCGCCTCATCCCGAGCCGATGCCTCTCGATCCGGCTCGCTGCTCCAAGAGAAGAGGCGTCGAACTGTCCAGAGTGTCTCGGAAAACCCCCAAAGCCCCAAACCCTAAAGCCATCTAAAGCCCAAAAACCCTAGAGCCCGAAAACCCCAAAACCTCTGAAGCTCAAAAACCCCTAACGCCCTAGTCCCTACAGCCTTTTGCAAACTCTAAACCCTGCTAAACCCTAAATGTCAACAGCCCCAAACCCTATACTCTAAAGCCCCAAGCCCTGCACCCTAAGGCCCTAAACCTTCAAAGCCCTAGCGCTCCGAACCCTAAACCCTAAACGCCTTGATGCCCTAAAACCCAGAATCCCCAAAGCCCGTTATAGTAAACCATGAAGATCCTTTGAAGGAGCCCTTTCTAGTAAACCTTATAGATCCTTTCAAGGAGCCCTTTCTCGTAAACCTTATAGATCCTTTAAAGGGCCCTGGTAGGTCCCTTAAAGGAACCCTAAACCTAAATCCTAAACCCTAAGCCCCAAGCCCTAAATCCTACTAAACCCCAAGCCCCAAGCCCTAAACCCGAAACCCCAAGCCCCAAACCCTGAACCCGAGGGCCCCAGGCCCTAAACCCCAAGCCCCAAGCTCTAAACCCTGAACCCCTGAACCCTAAACCCTGAACCCTAAGCCTTAAAGGAGCCCGTGGAGGCTCCGTGAACCTCCGCTACGCGGGTGACTTGCTCATCCCAGGTCCAGGCCTTCCCGGGCTTTAGGGTTTCGGGTTTACGGTTTTAGGGTTTAGGGTTGAGGGATGTCGGGTTCAGGGGTCCTTTAAGGGTAACTTTAAGGGATCTACAAGGGTTACCTCTCAGGGTTACTGGAAGAGTTTGGGGCTTCGGGTTTAGGGACCCTTACAGGGATCCTTATAGCGTTCCTGAAAGGGATCTATAAGGGATTTATAGGGTTGGGGTTTTGGGTCTAGTGTTTAAGTTGTGGAGATTTAAGGATTTCAGGTTTAGGGTTTTAGGGTTTAGGAATTAAGGGGTTTGATGTTCAGGGATGTAGGGTTTAGAACTTTTAGGTTTTAGAGGAGTTTTTGGTTTTTGTGTGGGTTTGCATGTTCTCATGATGGCTGCAGCAAGGGCTTGTTTAAGATGATATATATATATATATATATATGTATAGGGTTGTGAGGTTTCCCGGTTTGGGGTTGTGGGTTCATGGTTTTCGGGGATTATTAAAGTTTAGGTCTTAAGGGTGTGAGGTGTAGACTTTTGCAATTTCAGGTTTCAGGGTTCAAAGGCTTTTGGCTTTGGCGTTCAGGTTCGGGTTTGTGGTTTCAGGTCCTGGGTTTCAGGTTGCAGGGTTCAGGGTTTGTTAAGCATTTCGGGGTTCGCCGTTGCTGCACAGGGTGTTTTTCGACAATGCAAAGCTAGCGTCTTGCAGTGGCTTCTAGTGTGTCGGTATTGTCCCTAAATCAAACCACATTGACGAATGCCGATTTGAGTGTTCGTCTACATTACGGGGCCCCTTTCCAGGGTCCTGCTTACAAGAACCCCTCTTAAACCCCAAACCCTACCCTAGGGGGCTTAAGTAACAGGTTTAAGGAAGTTAGAGTTATATAACCTTTAACCCCAAACCCTCAATAAGATAAATACATGACACGTGCCCGACTTCAAATCAACTTTCCTCTGCTCGCGGAACAGAAGACGGACCCTTGATTGAGAGGAAACCTCTTATTTGCTGGGAGCTACCACCCTCAAACCTAAACCCCAAAAACCCTGAAGTGCTAGAGCTTTGAACCTTAAATTATCAACTGGCCGCAAAGCCGAACCCTGGCCCTCAACCTTAAGACCCTAAAACCCGAAACCCTAAACTGTAAAACTTTAGGACCCTAAGCCCTAAGCCCTAAATCACGAGCACCTCTGGCATGGCATCCATCTTCTCCAAGGCTTTTGACAGCTTCTCCTCCTGATGCCACATAGGGGTTTCCGAAAATAGGGGACCCTAATATAGTACCCTAAATAATAGGATCCCTATTATAAGGACCCAAAGTAAGGTACCCTAATTTTCTGAAACTCCCACATAGCTGCAAGAACCAAGGCGCTTCGGGTTCCGCTTAAAGGTTCTATAAGGCTTTGTCGATTTTTGGGGCTGTTTAAGCTTCCTTTAAGGAGTTAATGTAGGGGCCTTAATAATTGCCTACAACATTTTGGGGGGTTCCTTATTATATTTATAGTACAACAAACCCCAAAACCCTAGTTTAATTATTAAGGCCCCTATACTATGGGGCGCTATGGGCTTGGGGTGGAAAGCTTTCGGGTTCATCGCTTGGTCAAACATGCCCGCACTTCAGAAGCCGACGCAGGTTGGAACGAAAGCAAACACCGAGTCATGTAGGGGCCCGAATAATTAGAATAGGGTTCTGGGCTCCTTGTAAGAATAAGAAACCCTAAGAAATAACGTAGGTACTGATTTAGGCCCCTGTATGATTCCCCGAAAGCCTAAATCCCAAAGACTAATACAAGTAATGTATTTGGGCTTCTATACTACGGCAGGAGACCGCGGACTGACTGACGTGTGACGACCACCACAGAGCCAAGGCAAGGCTACAAAGAGACTTCGAGTCCAGGTCGAGCTTTGCGGCAACGGAGGTAGGGTATGGGGTTTCTGGTCCCCTGTTGGGGCTAAATTTAAAATCGTCACTTTTAATCCTTATTGGGTTTCATAATAACAAAATGTAAGCTTGTATCCAACAAGGACCCAGGTTTGGGGTGTAGAGCCAAAAAAGCAGCCCGATAGGGCCGAAGTACGTGGCGTGGCACTCGAAGTCCAAAGACTACCGAAGGACATCTTCAGCTCATCACGAAGCCAGCAATACCCCAAAATCCGCAAGAAGCACCTTTAGGGTTTAGGTGTCTGGGGCTTGCTAGGTCTACCTGGGCGAGTAGGCCTTGAACCCTCAGCTCGGAGCCCTAAACGATGCATGAAGTAAGCCCACCCTACAATGCACAACTAATCTGTAGAGCTCTATGTAGTCGTAGAAAAGTTGTATCAAGCGCCATAAACAAAAAACATATTAAACAAAAAAGAAAACATCCACAAAAAGGCCCAGTCGCGTCGCCCAGTGCCGTGGCCACGCGGAAATCCCGGGCGGCCTGTGCCTGCGGGGAGTTCGCCTTGCCGAAGCCAAGGGGTGGGAGGGGGAGGTGTGGACTTTGAAGGGTTCCCCTTTGGGATCTGCAGGGGCTCCCTTGGTTTTTAAAAGAAAGGTCCTATCAGGATTTATGGCTCTAGGCAGGGTTTTTAAGACTTGAGGTTTAGGGTGTTGTTCTTATCGGGTTCAGGGTTTAGTGTTTAGGCTTCTTGTCTGTGAAAGGGTTAGTTTCAGTTTCATGAAGTGTGAAAGAGTTTTATGGGGTTGTATGCAGGATTGGAAATAACAAGGGCTTTGTAGGTCTTGGTAGAGCTGTTGATGAGGTTCACGCGAAAGCCACTGACCAAACAACACCAAACCTCTAAATCCCAGATTGGAGTATCCCGACCTTGACCCACCAAACCTACTTTTCGGTAGGGTCCCGAAAATAGTAAACTTTTTCACAAACAGAACCTACAAAAAGAAGTAGGTTATGGCAGTTTTGGGATGTTTAGGGTAGTCTAGGAACCTGATTAAGAAACCCTGGCTCTGTATCATCAGGGTTCTTTCTATGGATGGCGGTTATAGATAGAGCCAGGGTTTCCTCATAGCCAGGTTCCTACATTTATCGGGACTTAAACCCTGAACCCCAAATTCTACTTGGAGGCCCAGGGGATGTAGTAAGTAGGTTCTAAGAAACCCTACTTATAACCGACTTACTAAGTCCTCTGGGCCTCCAAGTAAACCCAACACCCTAAATCCTGGTTTACGATAAACCAATAAACCTCCGCTGACCGCCTTCTCGAAAATGGTGTCCTGCACCTGGGATTTTTAATTTAGGGTCACGGTCTGGGGTTTCGGATTTAGGGTTTAGTGTGTTGCTGGCAACTTGAGGTTTTGGGGTTTAGGGTTTAGGGCTTTTATGACAAATGACATTTTAGGATTTAGGGTTGGGGGTTCAGGGTTTAGGGTGTTTATGACATTTTAGGTTTGGTGGTTTAGGGCTTCGGGTGTTTATGACATTTTAGGTTTTGGGGTTTAGGGCTTCGGGGTGTTTATGACATTTTAGGGTTTTTGGGTTTTGGGTTTTGGGTGTTTATGACATTTTAGGGTTGGTGGGTTTAGGGCCTAGGGCTTTATGACATTGTAGGGCTTTGGGGTTTAGGGCTGAAGGTGTTTATAACGCTTTATGAGTATTTACTAAAGCATGACAGTTAAAAGCAAGAAGAAAAAGCAATAACAAAAAAGGCAGAGGCGCCGTCTTCTTCGAGTCAAACTTCGGGCTTTGTTCGACGACGGTCACGTGCGCGCCAGATCGCAGGACGACTTCTCCCTTCATTCAAGGTTTTCTGGTTTCTTGTTACACAAACTATGTTAAGCTACCATAACAAGGACACCAGATTATTTACTCTAGACCTTTGTGATGTGAACTTGAAATTACTGTCCGAGTTCAAAGACTTTAAGGATCAAAGGGCGTCTTTAAACTACAGACACCTACTTGCTCGTTTAGGGTCCCTGCAAATGCTCAGCTGGGTTTATGTGCAAACCTACAACAAGTTCTAGTAGTTTAAGGTAAACCCTAAGCCCTGAGAAGTTATGGTTCAATGAGCTTGTAAGACCCTAAACCTTAAACTCTGAACCCTAAACCCTCACCATACTACCCTAAACCCTAATCCCCGAACCCTCATCCCTAAATCCTAACTAAATCTGCGAGTTCATGAGACTATATTGGATGGGCTTTAAACCCATCTAATATAGTCTCATGAACTCGCAGAGTCTAGGAGGCTCGAACCACCCAGCACCCTAGAGCCCTGAACCCTATAAGCCGACAAACGAACCTGGTTGAGGATTTAGGGGTTTAGGATTTAGGGTTTGAGGTCTGGGGTTTAAGGTTTGGGGTTTAAGGTTCAGGGTTTAGGGTTCAGGGTTTGGGGTTTATTAGGGTCTAGTTGGGTTTAGGGTGAACGGTGCCACGACTCCTGACTGAAAGACTTGGACCCGGAAACTTGGAACCCACGTGTTAATGTATGGGCCTTAATCATTACCTATAATATTTTGGGGGTTCCTGATTATAGTTATAGTATAATGGGACCCAAAACCCCGTTCTAAATATTGAGGCCTCTATATATTACATTCATGCCTTTACGGTAAAGTCAAAGGAGCCCTAGCATAAATCATCCTTAACCCACGCTTCAACTTTCGGGGGTTCACGACCAACAATACTTTTCTAGCAGCAATTTCCTAAACTCTGCACAGAACCCTTATACAACCCCTAGCGAACCCGTAAGACAAAGGAACCCGGGCTGATAGGCGTTAAGCTTGGGAGGGCTGTTAGCATGCAGTTTTTGGCTTGTGGGGCTTTGGAGGCTCGTGGCTAGGGTTTAGGGGAAACCCTAAACCCTAAACCCCCAATTCAGGGTTTAGACGGTTTAGGGTTTAGGGTTTAGACGTCGAGCTTTTGGAGATTAAGGCCCTGGCCTAGGATCAGGCTGAGAGCTTTTCAAAGGGGGTTTAGGGCTAGGGTTTCGGGTTTAGGGTTTAGGGTTTAGGCATCTACTGGAAGGCTACGATTGTGCACGAACCAAGACAGCATTAACCATGATCAGCACAACCTTCATCATCATGTAGCGGCCTTAATAATTAGAATAGGGTTTTGGGGCACAATATAATATAATTATAATAAGGAACCCCCGAAATAGTACTGGTAATTACTTGGACTCCTATAGTAGTCATGGACCGAACGAGTGGCAACCGACCATACTGCAAGCAAAAGCAGCTCATGGTCCGGGTCATGATAATCTAGGGGCCTTATTAATTAGCATAGGGTTATGGGGCCTCTTATACTGCAATTATAATAAGGAACCCCAAAATGGTATTGGTAACTATTTAGGCCCCTACATGAATCCTGGTCATAGTGTCAGAACCCGTTGCCATCGTCGGCATCCAAGATGTGCAGCTTGAGGAAGAGGGCCTCTAACCTCTTCCTGAAGCCCGCGGACTGCCGCAAGGCTGGGTTGTAGAGGTCTCTGTCATGCAACGGTATCCCTAATACTACCTGTTACCTAGGACGAAAGCTGCCCCTAAACCCTAAACCTAGCGCAGGGCTTCATTGCTCCAGTCGGAGCCTCAGGAGCGATGTCCGACATCCTGCCCGGAAGTCAGGGCTCTGTCGGGCATCTGACGCTGGAGCGGCAAGGAGGACTGCGATTTCCTTGCAACATGGCTCCGAATCGGCGAAGAGGTTCGTCCTCGCTGTTCCAGCGCTGCGAGGCGAACGAGAGGGACTTGATGAGGCTCTGCAGCGGTGCTCCTCCGACCTGGTTCTCAAAAGTATACTATACACAGACTATAGATGAAGATGCTTGTTATGTCTATCCTCACCGAAACCCACAAGCGCGAACTATACTTCCCTCCCCACCCACAGGAACCCGAAACCTTAAATCCCAAGGCTCTAAACCCCGACCCACACAAAGCAAAACCCCGTAAGCTAAACGCTACGTACACCCTACCTAGGTCCGGAACCCTCAACCCCGCGGCTTTCTTCGCGGCCTGATTTGGGGAGTTCTTCAGGTTTAGGGTTTGGGGAGTAATGTAGGGGCCTTAATAATTAGAATAGGGTTTTTGGGCCCACTATACTATAATCATAATAATAAGGAACCCCCCCAAAATAATGTAATTCATTTTTAAGGCCCCTATATTAGGGCTTCCCGGCCTCCTTGGGAGAGTTCTTCCCGGCCAGAACAGACAGCAAGGTGGATTTCCCGCAGCCGTTGGCGCCGACCACCGCCACCTTCCTTCCCTGCTGAGACAGACAGGCTTTGAAGGCTCAGGGGTAATGTCGGGGCCTTGATAATTAGAATAGGGTCTTGGGGCATGTTCGGTTTGAGGTCTTCGGATAAGCTTATGGCTTCAGGATGCAAGGTTTTCGGGTCTAGGGATCGTAAGCACTGAGCCTTTCGACCGGACTCCTCGCCTCAAATCATGACCTGAGAAGGAAGACTTCGAGAATTAAACCCCCGAGCCCTAACCCAATTAAACCTGAAATCCGAAAAAAACAAACTGAAGCCACTGAATCCCAGAGCCAAACCCAACAAGGGCTGAACCCCATAAACCAAGAATCCTCAAAAGCCTCAACACCTGAACCCTGCTACAGAAACCCTCGAACACCTAATGCACTGTTTTGCGACTGAAACCCATGTCGATCGGCCTGATCGATCTTGAGCTCTTCGATCTTGAAAAGGGTGCGCAGTTCGTCGTGGGTCCTGCGCGAAGCGCTCCCAACTTTAGAGAGAGAGACAGAGAGAGAGAGAGAGAGAGAGAGTCAATATTGGGAATTCTCCAGGGAAACGATGTGGGGTTCCCTAAGTAAGTTTTCTGTGGGGTGTTAAGTGTAAGAATCCCCGAAGCTCTAAACTAAACCCTAAGCCCTTAAGGATTGAAGAGTCCGAAAACCCTGAGCACCCCTAAACCCTAAACCCTGAACCCTAAACCCTAAGCCCTGAACCCAAAAACCCTAAACCCTGAACCCTAAGCCCTGAACCCTAAACCCCAAAGCCAAAACCCCAAGCCCTGAACCCTAAACCCTAAACCCCAAATCCTGAACCCTAAACCCTTAGCTCTAAACCCTATCGAAGCTCCTAGCTCGAAACCCTGAGCTATTTTCCTGCCAGGTTCCCCCGAGTACCCTTTAATGAAACCTTTTGGGTTTAGGGGTTTAGGGGTTTAGGGTTTAAGGTTTGGGGTTTAGGGTTTTAGGGTTTAGCGTTTGGGGTTCAAGGTTTAAGGTTTCGGGTATTTTAGGTCGAATAGAGGGTCATTGGGGGCCTAGCCATTCTAACCCACAGCCACAGCCCTTTAGGCGCTAGCCCGTAGGAATGGCCCTTACACCAAAGCTGTTCTGTTTCTGTTTCCTGCAAACCCTGAGATACAACAAAAAAACCCGGAAGCGTGGAAGCCCTAAACACCCAGAAGCCCTAAACTCCCTAAACCCTAAACCTTAAACCCTACTCCTAGCTGCAGTTCCTTCGCTCTGGCATGCCACTTCTCTCTGTTCTCGAGGATCTGCACCAAAGCCTTCCACGGCTTGTCGAACAGCCTCACTGCAGCTCGCCTAAACTCCGCAGGGTCTGTAGCACTCTTGCTGAGCTTCAGAAGCTCGTCTGCCATGGCTGCTTTTCACCTTGGCCTTCATGGGTTGCAAAGCCTTCGATGGAATGGCAACCTCTTGCCCAGCTTCTCTTCCTTTGACAATTCCTTGTCTTTGGAAACTTCATCAAAAGAGCTCAACTTGTCCCTCGTTTTGACCCAAAGCCTCAAGTATCCTCGGGGCCCGCCGGAGTCTCTGGGATGTTTTGGGTCGGCTTGCCATGACTTCCATTTCGCCTCGGCTTCCTCACGGGTCAGGTAGCCATGCTTTGCCTTGCGAGCCTATTCACCCTACCCTAAACCCTAAACCCAAAACCCAAAACCCAAAACCCAAAACCCAAAACCCAAAACCCAAAACCCAAAACCCAAAACCCTAAACCCATACCATTCTTGTTCCCACATCTTCTCTCCTTCCTGTGCTCTCCGAACAGCACTTGAGGAACGGTAAGGCAACCGGAAGGACTGAATACTGAACTCGATCTTCTCGCCGTTCTTTTTGGCCTTGTGTTGTTGTGGATCCTCCCTCTCCATGGAAATCCTAAACCCTAAAGCTTAAACCCTAAACACCCGGAAGCCCGATAATTTCGAACCGAACGGCCTCTATCCAAGCCCTAAAGTCACCCCTAGTTATGTGGGTAGTAGTTCTCTAAAGGACTCGACTTTGGAAAACTACCCATGAGCTAATATTCGGGGGAGATATAGACACCTTCAATAAGGTCCCTTTTAAGGGAGCCATAAGTAGGGTTAAGAAAGGGTCCCCTTTTAAGGGGTCTCCC